TGTCAGTCATCAAAACTGAATGGGATCCAACAAATCACTAAAATATAAATACTAACAATTCCCACTGCATTCTATTCCCACAACTGATTCTAAACCTTATATTCCAACAAAGCAAATTTTAAAATGAATGAAATGAAAATTTAGGTTTGTATCCACTTTAAAAAAAATTCTTTCTATCATGGTAAAACGAAAAGGGGATAAAGAGAAATAAAACTTGGTCCGACAATAGAACTATAATGAAAATTAAAATTAATTAGGACTCAATTATGTATCTATTGGTGGTGGGAGAATATTGAATAAATGGATTAATAAACGTTTTGCCCATTCCACATCATGCAATTATTTTAAGTTATTAGATGCTTTTATTCCTTCACACCTAATTAGTTTGTGAAATTGATTGCGTCCTAACTAAGCAGCAACTCATATTCTTTCATTTTAGACATGCAATGCAGTGTGAAATTATTACGTGGTTTACATTTATGACTAATTTATTAAAATTATCGTTTAGACATGCAATGCAGTGTGAAATTATTATGTGGTTTACATTTATGACTAATTTATTAAAATTATTGAAAATGCATAAGTACTCTTTAATTTATGTTCGAAATTTTAGAGATATACTTATACTATACTAAGGTCATATTACCTTCCTGAACTTATTTATAAGTAATTTTCTACCTCTTTTCGGCCTATTTGATACTAGCTTGGAAAAAAAATCAATCAGCGTTGGACTCACAAGATAGTGTCACGTAGGCGAAAAGAGGTAGAAAATTATTAATAAAATAAGTTCGGTGGTAGTGGTGGGGGAGTGTAATTAAATCTTAGAATAGTGTATATGTATCTCTGAGATTTCGAACATAGATTGAGGGGTATTTGTGCATTATCCCTTAAAATTACAAAGTCTCTAAAAATGCTAGAATTTGAGATTTCAAATCATCATATTATTTTTTCTAAAATGTAAAAAATTTACTTAATTTTTTAAATATTTTATATAAAATAAAGATTCATGTTTAATATGAAGAGATTCTTCAATGTAAAAGGATACATTGAAGATTAGCTAGTTACTATTATTGTTAACCGACGAATCTTCGTAGAAATATATGTATTTAAAAGTATATAGTTTATAAATATTTATTTATAAAAAAATATACGGATAGATAATTTTCAATGCAGCACCTTGAAATATTTCAATATTTTCTATCTATAAAACACAATTTAATTATTTGATAAAATTTATATAAAATAATAAAATTTTAATAATTTTCACAAATATGATTCTTTTTTCATGTTTACGAGAAAAGAATATTCGATGCAGGGAAATGAAAGAGGATTAGATAATAGGATAGTTACGATTTTATCGTGATAAAAATAACTTTAATTGTAATAAATAAACATAGTATTAAAAAATGTTAAAATTTTATGATATTATTTACGTGTCATTAGATTGAATATCGATAAAAGTTTTAAAAATAAAAAAAATGGTAATTATTGTTATATATTTAATATTAATTGAGTATTGTTATTAATTAATCACCGTGTTAAAAATATTTTTGATATATTGTTTTTAAGTAATGGCACTGTCACAAAGTGTGGAAATACATTTGCTCCTGCCATGAAATGGTCCAATCATAAAAAAGAACAAAAAGGGAGACTTAAAGAAAGGGAAAAAGAAGATTTTTTATTTTTTTTTATATTATGTTTTAATAAATTTTATATTAAAGAAAAGGGCAGATGCAAGTATGTACAAGAAGACCAGGTTGTCTTTTACCTTTATTTTATATGCAAATAATTCATCTCTTATCTTCACCAAACTTTATTATATATTATTTTCCATTAAAGTTGCCAAAAAAGAAAGAAGCAACTCGTTAGGAATTTATGCCCAACAGCTCATCATCTATCTATTTTGTTACATCATTTTAATTTTCTTAATTAAATTGTGAAATAGTAACCGTCCAATTTTATATAAAATAGGGTAAAACCAGGAAAGAAAAGCGATAATATATTTAGAGCTTGTTTGACTCACCTTAAAAGCTGTTTTTTGATTTATTTAATTGTTTGACAATACTTAAAATAACTTATTTTAAGTTAAAAAGTTAAAAGTTGGGGTAGGAGTAATTTTTTTTAGCTTATAAACGGTTTTAAGTTGACCACATTTTTATCTTTTTGCCCTTAATATTTTTATACAATCTCCAAATTATCCACATAACTCTAACATCTCTTTTTTCCATTTTCCCCTTTTCACGTTTGATATAGCAACTTCAGCACTTTTATCCAAACGCATAATTGCTTATTTTAAAAATAAGTTTCAGCACTTTCAAAAGTACTTTTTTAAAATTGCTTTTATTAAACCCATCCAAACGGGCCCTTATCGGCCAATCATTCCCACTTGAGTTTTTACCCATCATTACAAGATGATAGCTAAGTTTCATCTATTTTCTATCTTAAAATTTTAGATTTAACTCTTAAAAGAAATAAATAAAGTATTTTAAACTTCTAAGGGGTAAATGATCTTCAAATAAGTAAAGAAGATGCATTTATAATTTAGTATCATGTTTAGTTGCACTTAATAGGGGTCTCAATATGAATGATATAAAAATTTTAATTATTTAGTACATTTATTAATATTAATATTTTAAATACTTATTTAGTTTGAATAGATTTTAACTGAACATGAAATTTTAATATCATTGAAAAGTATATTTATGTGGATAATTTTATTATTATCATATCATAATTACCATTGATGATAATCATTATTATTATTGTCAACTATCTTTATTATCATAATTACAATTACCGTCAATTATTACTGTCTGCAGCTATCACCCTAGATTTGTCTTGAATTTTCTATCTTATATAGATTTTACAACAATTATGTTTTAATGCAAAAAGATTTTCTTGATTCACAAAATGTTTTTTTTGATGGAAATTAACTTTACTATATCCATCATTTTTATGAAGAAGAAATTTGGAATTCTATAAAATAGAAGATCTTTTATTCTGGTATAATGCCAAAATAGCATCACAATGCAATTTTTTTAGTTGTTAAAAAGTTGGATTTAGGGGAAGATTATAAATTTTATGCCTATTATATTAATTTTCCAATAAGTAGCTTACTTAATCAAATCATATAATAATAATATGCTTCTTTTAGTATGATCTTTTTATTATATGATTTAACGTTGTATGAAATTTATAATTATTAGTCTTTGCATGATGATCTATCATTTCGATCTCAATATTTATTACGTCTATTATTATAATTATATCAATTCTCTCAATCATTATTGTCAGTCACTATCACACCTATCACCTCAATCATTATAATTATATTCACTGTTACTATTGTTGTTACCACCTCCGCCACCACTATCATTCCATACCACCATTGCAACCAATGCATACTACCAACCATCTCCACCATCGCATCTACCACCCTCGCCAACGACCACCTACACCATCATAAAAATCACATACTCTTCGACCATTACCACCAACTATAAACAACAACCAAATCTATTATTAAGATTAATCACTATTACCATAACTGCTATTAATCACTACCATCGTGACAACGATCTCCACCATCACAACATCACTATCACTATTACTAGTCACTAATACCAATCATCACCACCACTTGAAATTATCACTAGTAAATATAGTTTTTTATCAAATAATAATTTCCTTTATTAAATTATAATATATTAGCCTCCAAAATCTTCTCAAAAGATTGGCAGTTAAAACATAAAATGGCAAATTGAAGCTAGTAACTCCTAGACATTAAAGAAAAAAAGAAAAGAGAATATGAAATGTAAAAAAATCTGAAAGTTTTTTCTATCATTATCTTTCAAAGAAGTTGCACAAAATTCCATTGTCAATCAATTAATAAAAGCAAAGCCAAAGTTGAATAAACTTTTGACATAATTAGATACAAGTTGATGCTAATTACGTAATTGACCCAAAATTCTGAAATTATATTAGTTGATTTTCTTCCTTCATTCTGTTACTAATACGGAATTAAATTAAAAATTGTTTATCATTCTCTCAGACCTCCATTTTTAAACATGAGCCACTTGTCCAATTTTATTTTTTTTGAAATCATATATGGAATTAGATTTAATATACTAAATATATCAAACAAAAATAAATTATGCTTAGTAATCTGCTTATGGATTTAACGTGGTATGCATTAAACACGAGTTGATAACATAGGAAAGAGGACAGTTCGTCGTAACTAACGTGCTACAATTGCCATTAGTAATTAGTATAATATAATTTGTATGAGATACGAATAATAATTTTACAATAAACTTTATTTGATATTTTATTTAATAATTATAAAATTATTTTATCCTATCATTTATATTAAAATGTACTTAAAAATAACTTATCAAAGCTCAGATATAGCTTAAAGTCAAATCTTATTGAGAGGTCTAAAATGATATTTATAACTTTATCCCTTGATTTATTTGCCTTATTCTTTATCAAACTAGAATTACTTACACATAATAAAACATAAATAAATTTTTACATGAGATATTTGGAATAGCGATTAAGTTAATTTTTTTTAATTGAAAAGAGAAAAAAAAATATATTAAAGAGTGTTTGATAAATAAGTAGTACCAAATTTCAAGTTAAAACATTGAAAAATGTTGATAGCCAAAGTCAAACCCCCACCGTTACTAGTTTTTGACCCCATAGATGTTGAACCAAGCCCTTTAACTTGTGTTGAGGGAAAATATAGACATAAAATACATATTTAATCTTATATACACATTATAATTTTTTAATTTAAGATATTAAGGTGAACCATTAAATTGCACGTAGATTCGATCTTGATTTGAAACTATTAAATTATGATTTTTTATCTCCTCCGTCTTACCATATTGTAAGTTTTAACAACCTCTAATTATGTAATTATAGTTTATAACTAACTATGAACCAAACAAATAGTAATATTATAGTAATCTATAAAATTACATTACAAGTTAAGAACTAAAAGGCGTGCAAGTTGTATGAAACAGTCCGTCCCCATTACAACTCATCCAAATACTCTTTCCATTTTTTTTTTGGTTTTAAGAAAAAGCCTCCTCTATCACTTCCAAGAAAAGTCTTGTTTCATTTTCTTCAACTTTTAATTCATTTAATTATCATTCAATTTTCAGCATTTTCGCAAAATGGCAGTTTCACCTGAATCTTTTCCCCCGAGAAAACGTCGGCCGTCGGCCAACTGTTTCGTGGCTCCGAATCTCTCCGATCGCAATCTCCTTAAATCTCTTCTTCTATTATCATCAGAAATCTCTACTTTAAAACCTTTGTTATTTCTTCTCAAGAGAAATACATCTTCAATTATCAGGAAATCCAAGCTTTTATCGGTATTATTTGAGGAAATTCTCGGTAGGGATTTTACATATTCAAATACATCAAGAGGAGGAGGAGGACATGTAACTGGTTTTCCACCTTCTGCTGTTTTGTGTTTCGATGAATTGTACATAGTTTTACAGAGAATGAAGACTTTGCTTGAAGATTGCCGTAATTGTAGTAAGATGTGGCTACTTATGCAAATTGATGTTTTCTGTAACGTTTTTCATGAATTAACTCTTGAATTGTCTACTTTATTGGATATTTTACCTTCCAAAAAGCTCAAATTAAACGACGATGTTCAGGAATTGCTGATTCTCATAACGAAGCAGTGCTCGGAGAAATTTACTTATGTCGATCCTAAGGATCGAGATTTACGATCTCAAGTTGTTGAAATGCTCGATAGAATTGAAAGAGAAATCGTACCTGATCAGTGTGAATTAGCCGAAATTTTTGAGAAATTAACTTTGCGTGATTCTACAAGCTGCAGGGATGAGATTGAATTATTGGAAGAAGAAATTCAAAGTCAAACAGATGAGAAAGCTAAATCAGATATCATCGCGTTGATTGGATTTGTTCGATATGCTAAATGTGTGTTGTACGGCGGTTCAACACCGAGAACAAATTCACGGCGGAGACGGGCGGCGGCGGATGTTAATGTTCCGGCTGATTTCAGGTGTCCGATTTCGCTTGACTTGATGAAAGACCCTGTGGTGGTTTCCACGGGACAAACATACGACCGCAGTTCAATAACCCTTTGGTTCGAATCGGGTCATACCACGTGTCCTAAAACGGGTCAAACACTGACCCATACAGACCTCATACAAAATTCAGCTTTGAAGAATTTGATAGCTATGTGGTGCAGAGAGCAGAAAATACCCTTTGAATCAACGCAGATGAACGTTAAATCTAACGGCGTTGTTACCAACAAAACAGCGTTGGAAGCAACGAGAATGACTGTGTCGTTTTTGGTCAACAAGTTGAAGGCTTCCCAAGTTGTAGAATCGGCTAACAGGCTTGTTCATGAGCTTCGAGTCTTAGCTAAGACGGATTCAGATAGCCGAGCCTGCATTGCTGAAGCTGCAGCTTTGCCGTTAATGGTTAAGCTATTAGGTTCTGAGCATCCGGGCTTACAAGTTAATGCAGTTACAACAATTCTCAATCTATCTATTCTTGAGGCGAACAAGACGAGGATAATGGAAACAGACGGAGTTTTAAACGGAGTTATAGAAGTGTTACGGTCTGGTGCAACATGGGAGGCAAAAGGGAATGCAGCAGCAACAATTTTTAGCTTGTCAGGTGTACCTGCTTACAAGAAGAGGTTAGCTCGAAAGACACGTGTGGTGAAGGGATTGATGGATTTGGCACGTGAGGGGCCAACGAATTCAAAGAGGGATGCCTTAGTAGCTATTTTGAATTTGGCGGGAGATAGGGAGGCAGTTGGGAAGTTGATTGAAGGCGGGGTAGTGGAAATGGTAGCGGAGATTATGGATGGATTACCTGAAGAGGCAGTTACAATTCTCGAAGTGGTGGTAAAGAAGGGTGGATTGGTGGCCATTGCAGCCGCATATCCATTGATGAAAAAACTGGCTATAGTATTAAGGGATGGAACAGATAGAGCTAGAGAGAGCGCTGCAGCAACGCTAGTAAACATGTGTCGTAAAGGGGGATCAGAGATGGTGGCGGAATTGGCAGGAGTTCAAGGGATTGAGAGGGTGATTTGGGAAATAATGGGAATGGGAACAGGGAGGGGAAGAAGAAAAGCAGCAACATTGTTGAGAGTTTTAAGGAGATGGGCTGCTGGATTAGATGCAGAAGTGGCATCAGGGGCATATTCAGATGTGAATATGAATACTTCAACCAGAATAGTATTGCCAGGTTAATTTTTTTCGAAAAAAAATTTGTTCTTTTGTTTATTTGTTTACACAAATATGCACGACAAACTGTAACATTTGTGAATTGTACAATTGTTCATACCTTTTTCAAATTGAAGAAAATAGAACAAGTTTCAACATTTATTGACAAAATTTAGCTGTGTATATCTTTGTTCTACACATTGGTTGCTCTTAAATGTGCCAATTCATATTGAAAGCTGATTACTCTGTAGTTGGCGCATTTGGCTTATCTTGAGCTTTATGTATGAGTGTATTTTCTTGTAGGATTTGAAGGAACACACTGATGATCTTAGTTGTGGATTTATCATTTGATGTGATTATAATGAAATTAATCATACAATAAACTATAAATTTCATGGTCTTGCATTATGAACTAACTACTAAGCCTCATTTTACCCTTTGAATCAACGGATTGGGACTACAATATGGGAATCAAACCCTTACTAACAATATGAAAGTTCAGGTAATCAACCTATTGAACTACCAAGATTCCCCAAAATAGTGAAATGAGGTTCTAGTTGACCCCCCATCGTTACTCAAGGGCATCTCATGCAGAATCTCAATTTTTTGGAAATACGGTGCAAGATTTAAAAATTCGAGCATATGACAAATTTGTCTTGTTCTGAAATCAGCCATGGTGACACCAAACTTCCATAGAAGGAAGCCTCTCGCTATGGTAGCACTGCTATAGAATCTGCATGACCGCTATTGCGGGCTGACAAAAATTCAGACTCTAGTTAATACGACTTCTTCTATGTTTCCTCCCACTTTTGAAGGGGGAAATAGACGACGAGGGTTTCTCCAAAACCCTCCAAAAGCATCCGGGGTGTGGGAGCGATGGAGGGGAGAGATTACAATGCGCAAGAAGAGGGGGGCTTGAAAACCAAAGGAATTTCGGTGCTCGTTCATCACAATTTGCTCTCACGGTCGAAAGCTCATAGGCAAGGTTCATTAGTTGATGCTTGGCGCCCAAGTAGGCTAGCTTTTCTTTACATTGCATAGTTAGACCCTTTGTTACTGCATTATATCTTGTGGATTTTCAAAGATTGCATGTATAGTTCTTCGGGCATGGAGTCTAAAGGATAAGCTTGTGGCTAAGACGATTATGCTGATAGTGTTGGTAAGCTAATAGTGATTGTTATATGGTATGAATATGTGTTGTCAGGGAAAGATTTGTAGTCTAATTTGGGGACCATCAAGGATTGTCTAGGAGGTAACTTGTCGGTAGTTGATGGTTGTATGTATTCTAATTCATATATGTATGCATGTCTATTGCTTTATAGGTATCACATGTGCAATACATATTTTGGAAACCATATCGAAGTATATGAAATGACATCATGTTGATAATCACACACAATGAACATGTTACTTTACTTATGGCTTCAAGTGTTATTATTGTGATTATGCATGTTGTTTGTGATTGCTGATTGACTAGGGTACCACGCTGATATATGAATACTAATGGTTCGCTCGGATACCATGTACGATGTAAAATACTAACTCTAGTAGGCTTGGGAATGCACTGGTACAACAACAATTTGTGTGTGGGTTTCATGAGAGGACCGAGTATGTATATTTGTGGTTCCATTATGATGTATGCTTGTTGGATCATTGAGTGGTCTGGGTTACTTGGAAGATGACTATGACTAAGATATGGCTTGTACGTAATCATGTAGGACATGTTTTATGCGTATGTTAACTCATGATAAGTACTGGAGTCTGGGCTATGTATTACTTGTGGTTATATGGTATATTATTTGTTTTGCTAAGTTGTGGTTTTTAACTCGTGATAAGTACTGGAGTCTGGGCTATGTATTACTTGTGGTTATATGGTATGTTATTTGTTTTGCTAAGTTGTGGTTTCTAGGCCATGCAGATGATTGGAGGTTTGGGCATGATTTAAGAGTTTGTAGTGACTAGGGTTGTTCAGTGTTTAGAACATGTCTAATAATAGGGATTTAAGTTAGGAGGGACAAGTTGGTCTAAGGCTCCTATTTCAAGTACTTAAGAGAGAGTTGTAGGTTGGTTAACAAGTTTGTAATGGTCTCTTTTAGGAAAAGTCTATGTGATAAAGGATTCGTGTATGATCTGAGATGAGGGTAGCATAATAGGGAGGCTTGGAGAGTGTTAGGGTGGCATAATAAGTAAGTTTAGGAATCCTTAGGTGGAATAAAGGGCAGGCTTGGGAAGCTTAGAGTGGCAAAAAGGGTCGAACATTTGATGGTAAAGTTAGTGATATCAACAATAATTTAGAAGAACAATACTCAGAGATAAGTGAAAATATACAGAACTTTTGAATAATATAGACAATACAAAAAGTGTAGAAATAAATACGGGAGATATAGGCATGAATGAAAAATCTAGTACATCAGGAGTAAAAAATCCAAAATATTTTAATCCAACATACTATAATGTAAGTTATGAAAAGTATGATAGAGAAAAGATTTTATGGGATAAAAGATAAAATAAATGGACGCCTAAACCAACAACTGAACAACATAATTTTTTAGATTTAGACTGTGTAGCAGATATAAATAAAACAATTCAATTATGGATGAGATATATATCAAAACAATGAATAGATAACAAGATAGAAATAACAGAAACACCAGGATATATAGAAAGAACACTTATAGGAACAGTAAAATTATGGTTACAAAATTTAACAAAAGAAAGTATAAAGACTTTAAGAAATAATAAAAAATTTAATGGAGAAATAGCTACAACATCTATGGAAATATTAAATAAATATGAAATAGCTATAAGAAATGAATTTGGTAGTATGACAACATAAGTAGAAGAACAAAATAAAGAAAAGTTATAAATAGAAATTTAATGGCAAAATTGGCAATATGTAACATGTGTTATATAGATGAATATACATGCGCATTTAGAGAATATTATTAGAAAGGAACATATAACATGGAAGAAAATAAAGAAATAAGAAAATCATATTTTACAAAATTACCAGAACCTTTTAGTTCAAAAATAATAAAAAGTTGGAATGAAGCAGAATTAACAGATACTTTAGGAGTTAGAATGAAATTCTTACAAAGATGGTTTACAGAATTAGGTGAAAAACATAAAAAAAAAGACATAAAAATGGAAAAAGTATTAGTAAAAAACTTGACATGTTGCAAAAATAAAATAGCACCTCAATTTGGTTGTACAGTTAGATATTATAAAAAGAAATATAATAAAAATAAAAATTATAAAAAATATAGATCAACATATAAATACAAAAAACCAAGAAAGAGATATTATGTAAAAAATTATAAAATTAAAAGACCATATAGACCAAAAAGAAAATTGACAGAATGTAATTGCTATAATTGTGTGAAATTAGGACATATAGCTAAAGTAAATTACCTAAAAATCCAAAGAGGAAACAGATATCAGAAATAATTATGGAAAATGAAAAATATACACAAATAGAGTATGTCGATTATGATTTAGAAAGTAAGGATAGTATACATGAAATATCAGAAAATGAAATGGATAATGACATAGAATTAGAATCAGATAATGAACTTTATAATATAGATGACTGAAGCAGATATACAAATAATAAATAAAGAAGAATGTCAAGATGAAGAAACTTTAGAACAAAAAATAATATTTGTTAATAGTATATTTGAATAAATAAAAGGAAAAGAATTAGATAGAAAAAATATTAGAAGTACCAAAAATAAAAAATTGATTTCAAAGACAAAAAGAAGAATATTATGTAGTAAGCCAAAGAGAACATATCATAGACTATAAGTATACCAAAGGAAAAGCTAAAATACCAATAATTAATAAGAGAATAATTAATAAAGAAATACAAGATATAAATGCAAAAAACCCAATTAAATATGTACATTTAGGAGGAACTGAAATATTAATAAAAGCATGTTTTAGGAAAGTAATAGATACATCTATAGAAATATATTTAGCAGATGACAAAATTATACAACCTATAGAAAAAAGTATAATAAGTGCAGTAAAAGATAATTTAATATACCAAAAATTTAAATTTATAATAAGTGCTAATTACTCAGTAGCAATTAATGATAGAAACATAGATAAATCATTAGTATTATATTGGAAAATGTCAGGAATAGAACTAGCACCTGGAAGTAAAATATTTACAGCCAGATGTAAAACTTTATAAGTTTTAACAACAAAACATAAATAACAGCAAAAAATAAAATAAATAAAATAAAAATAGAAAACCCCTTTGAAAAAATAGTTACGGTTATAAATAATAATGACTATAGTTATAATGAAATTGATATAGAAGGAGACTTAGAAATAGTACAAGAAAGACTAAACACATCAAAAAGAATAAATAATAATGATATACCACAAACATCATAAAAAATGAGTACTTCAAATAGTTCCAAAAGAATAAATATAAGTTCACAAGGAACAATAGAAGAAGAAATAAAACCACAACATTATTATATAACAGGAATAATGGAGCAAAGAAAATATTTAATACTAATAAATACAGAACAAGAAGAAAACTACATTACAAGAGAATTAGTAATGGAAGATAAAATAATAACTACAAAACACTCATGTCCAGAATTACCAAAAGTATTAATAAATATTGAAGAAACAACGGAACAAGAAATAATAACTGGAGGTATACCAATGATAATAAAATTTAAAATATATCAAGGAAATGAAAATATAACATTAGGAATAAAATGGCTAGAACAAGTAAAACCATGCAATGTAGAGGATAAACAACTAACGATAAATTACCAAAATAAAAAAGTCGTAATAAAAATGACTTTAATGTAAAAAATATGAAAATATATATACTCGCAAAGATAAAAATAGAAGGATATTATAACATATTTTATACACCAATGATAGATACAGGAGCAGAGGCTAATATATGTAAATACAATTGTTTACCGGAAGAAAAATGGGAAAAGTTAAAAACACCAATAGTAGTAACAAGATTTAATAATGAAGGAAGTATGATCACGTATAAGGCAAAAGATATAAAAATACAAATCAAGAAGAGACTTGGGATCAATGTGTATTAGTTTGTGGACATTATACATGGGATAGTAGAAGATGATAGATAGAGACTTTGGGTGGAGTCACTTTCTTATCTCATGTTTCCTCCTGAATGTCTACTTTAT